ACATTAGCATTTTAAAAATGTAAAGTCAACAAAGCACCACACAGGATCCAGATACCCTGTGTATTTTCCTTCTTTATGTGGCTTATTTTTATATCATTTTATTCTTTTTAAAAATATTTTATTACTTTTGAACTATTTATTTTTTATTCTGTCTGCATTCATTTTTTAGCATCTAAGCACAATTTTGAACATACTGGACCATTTTAGAGGTTTTCTGTGTCTGGGCCTGGCTTAAGTAGGTGCCTGAGTGTTCTCTGGCCACATGACAGAAATCTTAAGCTGCCATGTCAGCTGCTGGTGGCTCAGTTTATTGCGCGGTGCTGATAGGAGACATCAGCCCACAGGCTGTGGCCTGTAGTCGTGAGCACCAGCCTACATGAGAGGCTGCAGGGCTGGGCTAAGAAGCCACCTCCAGGTCCTAGTCCAGAACTTTTCTTAGACTCTTCAGGCCCTATGTTTGGATATTTGAGTTCCACATTGGGTGTCATATGTAGATAGTTTTTTCTTTGAGCTGTCAGCTCACAAATGATGACACAGAGACTTACACTATTAATTATGAAAGTTCTGCATTAGCTTAGGCTTGGACCTAACTAGTTCTTATAACCTGAATTTACCAATATCTTATAATGTACATTTTTTTATGTGGCTTGGTTACCTTTAGTCTGTCTGCCCATCCTGCTTTCTCTGTGTCTGTCTGGCGACTCTGTCCTTTGTCTTCTCAGCATTTACTCTCTGCCTGAAAGTCCTTCCAATCTCTCCTGTCTAGTTATTGACTGTCCAGCTTCTTATGACACCAGTCACAGCAATACATTTTTATAGTGTGCAAATAGCCCACAACAGACATAAGGTTAGGAAAGATAAAACTAAGATTATTTTAAAAAGACATAGGAAAACATTTTATCAGCTTACTTAAAATACACATAACTTGTACGCATATCCATGTGTGTATGCACTCAGACATACATATACAGTTTAAATGGAGTCATGTTACGTGGGTGGTAGTGCTCCCCACAAGGGCCATAGACAATCTAGCAAAAATTCTGGTGTCAGATATAGGAAATTTCCCTTTGAGTTTTTGATAACGGGGTCCAAGAGACTCAAAATAAAAGAGGCTATTTACATTGCCCTTGGTTACCTCCTAGAATTTCAAAGCAAGACCTTATTGCTGAAGGCACCACATACTTTGGGCAAAGAGTTATGGGAAACAAACTAGAACTTACCTAGAAGCCTCCTTCTTGGGGACTAACTTTCACAGTATCAGAAGGAAGTATACAAGGTACCAACAGGCAATCAGCAGTCACACCCATCTGTAAAGTCTGTAAACCACAATGACTGGCCTGACAAGATATCTCCAATGATGCTGTCCATACTGGCACTTACATATTGTGTGCGGGGAGTAGCCAACAGCTGTCTAATAGACTAGACCTGCTCAATAGGAGTGATTCCATGTCTGGTGCTTTAAACTGTAGCTGGAAAGGTCATAGATCCATGAGAACCTACTATCGCCACATTTCCAAACCAATCTAATTTCTAATTATATTCTGAATACTTACCCTTATATCTACATGTAAGTGTTGTCCTCAGTCTTCATTAAGGAAGCTTCTTTGTGCAGAGATGAACACTACTATGGAGATCCATAACTGATCAAAATACGGATAATCAGTGCCCATGGGGTACCCAGCCCAATTGGTAGGTTTGTCAAACAACTTCTATACCCAAGGAACAGAGGACATCACAGAAGTGAGGTGGATAGGTTGTAGGTACCAGAGGATCAGGATGCCCTCAGTGTGAAAGTGTCTTTTAGACATGACAGGCAGGTTGCATCCATGAAATTATGACAATGTGGTTGCCTAAACAAGATCTGCATAATTATAACAGCAGTCACCAGGCCAACATGGATGGGGAAGGTTCACAAAACTCCATTCCTAGATGAAGAGTTGGAGAAAAATCAATGCCTACCGAGAGAGGAAGAACCAGTTTTGTTTTCCAAGGTATAAGACCCTGATAGGGGGGGGGGGGGGGGGGCAAAAAAAAAAGACCCTGATAGGTTATCCAATCCCAGGTATCCAGCCATAAACAGACATGTATATGAACAGCACTAAATTGACTTATTAGGTTGTACAAATATACATATATTTATTTATTTGGGGAGAATTATGTTATTTTTTAAAAACTATTTTTCATACATATCCCCACACTGGGTGCTACCAGGATAAACATATCTATTTTAAAGAAACTTAATTTGATTTGCAATAGCCTGCCCTCTTCTTTAAACTATTATCCCTAAAGCAAAACATGTTTCATCTATTCCAAAATTGTCCAGAGTCTCTCCCAAGCACCCCCACAATGAAGTTGAAGCTACTGCTCACTTTAAATCAACATAGTCTCTTCTCCAGACATTCCACTTCTGTAGAAGAGTCTCCTTCATTTATCAGCCGTGACACCTGAGAAGCAAAGAATTTCCAGAGCACACCTGTTCAACAGATGCAGGACCAGCGTCCGTTCCAATGGGAAACACTGCAGGGAAATATGTGATCATGCCCCAAACACATCTAAATCTCAAACTTCTGCTGACCCCAGCTGAGAATCTAAGCAATAGTAGAGAGGGTACCTAAACTGCCCTTCTTCTGTAATCAGATTGACGACTACCTTAGTTGTCGTCATAGAACCTTCATCTAGTAACTGATGGAAGCAGATGCAGAGATCCACAGCTAAGCACTAGACTGAACTACTGACGTCTAATCATAGAGAGGGAGGAGCAATTTTATGAGATAAGGAACCAAGACCATGATGGGGATACCCAGAGAAACTGGGTAGAGTTACTGGGAGCTCACTGCCCCAAACTGACAACTGGGAAACCAACATCTGACTGAACTAGGCCCACTGAAAAGTGGCTGACATTTGTGGAGCATGGGCAGTTTGTGGGGTGATGGAGGAGGGTCATCTGTCTATTGTTACTTTCATTGGTTAATAAAGAGACTGCATTGGCCTTTTTGATAGGCCAGCCCTTAGATAGGTGGAATAGACAGAACAGAATTGTGGGAGAAAAAAAGCAGAGGCAGTCAGTCGCCATGACTCTCCTCTCCGAGATGGATGCCAGTTAGAATCCTCCCGGTAAGCCACCACCTCGTGGTGCTACACAGATTATTAGAAATGGGTTAGATCAATATGTAAGAGCCAATAAGAGGCTACAGATAATGGGCCAGGTAATGTTTAAATGAATACAGTTTCCGTGTAATTATTTCGGGGTAAGCTAGCTGGGATCCAGGTGGGAACGCAGCCCACTGCTCCTTCTACAGTGGCGCCACTAGCAGTGGAACCAGTATTTATCTCTAGTGCATGAACTGGCTCTTTGGATCCCATTTCCTATGGAGGGATTGTAACACAATTAATAAAAAACTAGAGACAGATATTGGGGTTCAACCTGGAGGTCAGAAAAGCAAAACAGTCAGCCACTGACTCTTACCTCTACCCCAGTCTGAAATGATGATCCTGCCTCCAGAAACCCTCAGAATGAGACTCTGCTTGAGAGCTGTCTCTTCCCATCTTATATTCCTCTCTAGTGCTGGGATTAAAGGCATGCACTGTTACTTCATGTTTCTATGGCAAACTAGCATAGCCACTTGGATTAAAGATGTGTGTCACTACTACCTGGTCTGTAAGGCTGACTAGGGTGGTTGCTTTTCTGACCTTCAGGCAAGCTTTATTTACTAAAATACCAATGAAATATCACTACAAGGGCTATCTTGCTCAGCCTAGATATGGGAGGGGGGGTCTTGGTCCTGCCTCAAGTGATATGATAGATTTTATTGACTCCCCATGGGAGCCCTCACTCTCTGAGGAGTAGAAGGGGTGTGGGGTGGGGATAAGGTAGGGGGAGTGAGAGGACAGGAGGGAGAGGGAACTGGGATTGGTATGTAAAATAAGATTTTTTTTAAATAAAGAAGGTATAAAAATTTTAAAAAGGTGTAGAAGAATGTTGTTTTCTCTGTTTGTTGGGTGCATTAAGGGGATGGCCCCAAAACTTTTAACTACTAGCTATGAGGAATGCATAAATACAGAAGTGGCTCTGACCTCCGGGCAGACCCTGCTCTCATGATATCACAGGCAGGTCAGTAGCCATTTGATCACACCTAGAATTGTTCTCTTCTCTCCACAAAGACAAAGCATGTCCTTGGCTAAGAGCCTGTCAGTAATGTTTGTTTACAGAATCACAGAAGTATTCTGGCCTCTGTCTGCCTCATCAATGATGTTCTAATGAGGTTTGAAATTAGTATATTCACGTTATGTCCATGTGGCCCCTGGAGATTTAATTTTAAAGAAAACAAAGACAGATAGGTTTGAAGATAAGGTTGTGTTCCTAAGGCACATGTGGAAATAAAACTTCTCATCCATTGGATTGTGTTTGTTTTACTTTTGAATAATTATTTGCCTCCTGGATTTCTCATAAATAACTCATAGAAAGGTATTTGAGCAACAGGATTTGCACTTGAAGACACTCTCCCTAGCCAGACACTCCTCTGGTGTGCGTCTCCACAGATGGCATTGTGTAACACACTCTCTTTGTATAAGATGTAGATACTTGATGTACCACACTTAGGGATATTGAATCTTAAAAGGATGTACAACCATGAGCAGAATCGTTGAACCAAGTACAAAGATGTACTTTTGTGGACTGTTGGGACTGGAGGCACCAGTAACTCAGGAATTTACCATGGTCTATTGAAAGAAGTATTTTCTGACCTTTTCTAGGCTGCCAGTTTGAAATCCCACTAGGAATAGGGTCAAGAGGAGATTTAGGGGCCATACAGTGACTGTCAGAATTTCAGAGTTTTCTGTTGAATAATGGATTTCTATGCAGAGTTTAAGAAATGTGTAAGAGCACACCAGCAACACAAGAAGGTCACTTCCTTTAACTGCGGAACTATTAAATCCAGCCTGTATGTGGCAGAAGGAAGAGACTTCAAGGCTCAAAATTTGATGCAGAATGTTGTCTTTTTATTGGAAAGAAAGTGTTTTAATAAATGCTGGGGTTCGGGACCTCAGGAAAAAAAAACCCCAAGTATGAGAAAAGAATGGAAATCCATGATCTGTATCTGGGACTTCACAGGAGTCTCCATCCTGAAGATATCGCAGCCTTCATTCAGACAAGGCGACTCCTAGGGAAAAAGAGCATAACCTGTGAGCTGTGCCAGTGGAGGGCAGAGGGGAAGGGGCCACCCATGTTTCTGTAATTTACTGATGCTCTCAGCTCTAGTGTGTCCCAAATAGGCACTCTTCTTTCTGATATGTCGCTTTGTTTCATTGAGAGGGAAATGGAAGCTAATTCTTAAACCTATAGTCTTTGGAAGAGACGAATGCATCAGAACAGCGGTGTGCGGAATGGGGAGAGTATAATACTGCAACACTTTGTTCTGTGAGGAGCACAAAAAAGTCATGCCAAACGAAATTCTAAGAATTAACAAGCTTGGATTACAACCTGACAAGTGGACTTGTACACGCGGAACAGAGTAAGATTTGTTTCCTTGTTGGCTTATACAAGGGGAATAGACTGAAAACACTCTCAAGGTGGGAGTTCAAGACTCAGGTGCTTTCTCTGGCGATTTCCTCACCTTTCCTCAGGTCACATTGCGCAGCTCCTCTGCTGTGCATCATGTGGACCAGTCCCGCAACCGCCCCGCAAGTACTCATGCACAACTTCTAAACCCTGGCCTGAGTGTCTCCCTCCCCTAGCAATATCCCTACCTTTGTATCGATCCGGATCTTCAGCTGGTCCGTAGCTGTGTCACTTAGCTACTTCTTGTCCAAAGCGTTGCTTTTCCTTTCTCCGTGTGTAAGACCGCTCTATTTCCCCGGCAGACTCGCCTGCTCGGTCACCATCCGAGCCTTCCTCTCCGGCACTGCTTCTCGAACTTTTCGACTTAAAGCTGCCCCAGGAGCTTTCCTCACTGGCGCTGCTCTTTGGAGCTTTCGATTTAAAGGAACTCCACGAGGCTTCCTCGCCGAAGCCGCTTTTTGGATTTTTCGATTTAAAGGAACTCCAGGAGCTCTCACTCCGGCTGTATTCGTCATGGGAAGAACTTGATCCCCCACTGCTCCCGCCTACTTCAGAGGTTTCACTAGAATGCTCTTCCGATGACTGTGAGAATTTTTCTGTGGAGAGAAAAGACTGTCTCACTCCCTGTGTCCATCCTTCTGTATATTCTGGATCAGTTGTGCATCGGGACACTGTCGAGAGCCGGCGCTTCAGCTCTGGTGACGGACCTGTGTTCAGATCTACCCTGTTGCTGCTTTGTTGTCTATGAAGCCCTTGACCTTTTAGTCTAGTTAGAAGCTGGAACGGCCTACTTGTCAAATCCCCTCACAGCTGACAATGAGGGTGCTTTTGTTACCTGGAGCTCCACATACCTCTGCAACCCCTCAATACTGGCATTTTGCTTGCCACATCACTGATAGCCACATAAAACGTATGGCTAAGACTCAAAAAAGACTCAGTCAGCATCAGGGATAGAAGCCCTGGGAACACGGCATACTGCAGAATCCAAGTGGACCCCTTTGAGAACATTTTTTTCAAATATATTTCCCACAGAACAAACTTGCCACTCACCACGGGGTCTCCTCGCAGATGCTTCTGTCACCAGAACCAGGAGCAAGGTAAGGAGGAAGAAGCTGGTGGGATTCATCTTGCCAGGAAGAACCTTGACTGAGAGCTGAGCTGAGCTTCTCCTTTATATGTTTCCTGACTGGCTTTGCCTGTAGATAGGAAAGGCAGTGACCTTTCTTATCTGTAAATGTCAGCTTCATTCTCTTTGCTCAGTAGGAATCTTGATGCTATTTCCTGCAAGGACACAACATCAGAGCATTCTCAGAAATCTTCCCTTATCCTTTGAGAACATCACACAGAAATTTCTGTTCTTCCCAAATATATTTCTGTTCAGAGTGGGAAAGAGACTTCAGGCTGCAGAAAATATGCAGGACTTGATCATGCCTTCATTCTCCAGCAATGAATGCCTTCTAAGACACCATCGTTGAAATGCTTCATCATGGATAGAATTCAGAAGTTCTGTTGATTTCACACAAACCTTCATATACAACCATGTCTGTCGGGAGGAGGCTTCCATAACCGACCCAACTTGCCTCTTTGGAGTTCTGTGGTTAAAGTGCATGGTGCCTTCAGCAATAGGGACTTACTTTCTGTCTCTTGCAAGCAACCATAGACAATATCAATAGCCTGTGTCATTTTGTGTGTCTCTTGGACTCATCTGACCAACAATCTGAATGTGGATTTCAAATGTGGAGTTTTTATTAGATAGTCTATGGCTCTTGGGGTCAGTCCAAGTAGCATGCCTTCAGTTAGACTATATATGTATAGTTATACATATACACTTATGTGGCATTTTAGAGAAACAAGAAATAATCTAAGTGTGTAGGGGTCTTTCAAACATCTCAGTGTCTCCTTCATCCTTCCATTTTGTACTGTACTTACTTCCTCCTCAGTAAGGTCTCCCTTTATCGTTTCCCAATTTTATCCTTTGTATCCTCCCAGTCCTCACATTGCACATTCTGGGTTTTCTTGGTTTCTATGGTTACTCCAAGTTATAAGCTCTCCCCTGAAGATTCAGAGCTAAGAGCCACAGATAAGAGAGATCATGTGGGATTTGTACTCCTAGGTCTGGGTTACCCAACTTGAAATAAGATTTCTAGTTCCATCTGTTTACCCACAAATTTTATGATTTCATTTTTCCTACAGGTGACTGGTATTTCATAGTGCATGTGTATTATATTTTCATTGTCCATTTGCCAGTTGAAGGGCTTTTGGATTTTTTTCACTTCCTGTCTATTGTGAATGGACAGCAATGAACACAGCCGAGCAAGCCGTACCAGAACACACTATGCAAGCTGTTAATGCAGCTGGGATGCCCATGAGCCACAACAGTGACCAACATGGCAAGATAAACCTAAGGGTGCAGTGACAGCACTAATATCTTGGTGGTAACCAAACACTGTCTAACTGGATGTAAGGCCTATTCGGCAAGACAGAAATTATACCTGGTATTGGCGATCTAGTCAACATGGGCTAGTGAGGTAATGGATCTTAGAGGAGACCCTTCTGATGTCACTGAGACCCTTCTACTGTTGCTGGGCTAAACCAGCATCATTCCTAACTGAATTCTGAATACTTATCCTATACCCACAGATAATTGTAACTCTTATCCCTTGTCTAAGCTTCTCTTTGCAGCATTTGGAGACCATTACAGAGAACCACAACTGGTAAGAACACAGAGAACAACGGACTGTGGGGTGCTGAGTCCCAACAGACACATTGGTAACAGAATTCTACAGCCAAGACTTGGTGAACATTGCTAAAGAGAGGCAGAAAGACTGTAAGGGCTAAGGACCAGGAAAGGTGCTGTGAGACTGGGTCTCCTAGCAATGGCAGGCAAACTTCCGCCAGGACACTTCAACAACATGGCTGCTTAAACAAGACCTGATCAAGGAGAGCACGGACAGCTGCGATGACGTGGGAGGGGGAGGCTGAGAGAGGGAGAATGAGTTTTCCCCAGGGCTGAGTCCCCTAAGTTGTCACCCGGTACCAGATGGTTTGTTCCCAGCAGGTTGTATTTATGTATCTCTGCATTTGATCTATACAAATATATGTAACAATAATATTTAAAGTAAAAGAAGCAGTAAATTTTAGGAGTGGGGGAGGAATGAAAGGAGTGGGAGGGAGGAAAGGGAAGGAGAACTGACAAAATATATAGTTCATTAAGGTACATAGACTTCTGATTAATTTTGGTGTGTGGTATAATTTCTTATAATAAAGTTTATTAATTATATATATGTATGTATAATTCTTTTATTGAAAATAGACTTTTTTCTCCCATAATATATCCTTACAGCTTCTCCTTCCTCTACTCCTCCCAGTTCCTTCCTACCTCCCATCCCATCCTGATCCACTCTCTTTCCACCTCTCATTTAAAAGATAGTCTTCTAAGGGATAATAATAAAATATAATAAAATAAAACATAACAAATAAAATGAAAACTACCACATTGGAGTTGCTTAAAACATAAAGAGTCTAAGAGAAGACCCAAGAATCATAAACCCAATTATTCTCACACTCAGGAATTCCATACCAGGCAGTTGTGGTGCATGCCCTTAATCCCACCCAGCACTTGGGAGGCAGAAGCAGGTGGATTTCCGAGTTTGGGGCCAGCCTGGTCTACACAGTGAGTTCCAAGACATCCAGGACTATATACATTGAGAAACCCTATCTCAAAAAGACACCTCAAAACACAAACAAACAAACAAACAAACAAACCCAACAATAATCCCCCCAAAACAAAACAAACCCCGCTAAACTGGAAGCCATAATTTTAAGCAGAGGAGCAGTACAAGCCTGTGCAGGCCCTGCACAGGCTGCCCCATCTCTGTGAGTTCATAGACCAACTGTGGGTAGAAGGCTTTGTTTCCCTGGTGTCCTCGGTCCCCCCTGGTTTTTACACTCTTTCCACCTCCTCTTCCATGGAGTTGCCTGAGCCCTAAGGGGAGGAATGTGATTGAGATATCCTGTTTAGGGCTAAGTGTTCCAAGGTCTCTTACTCTGTGAACAATGCCTGTCTGTGGGGGTCTCTGTATTTGTTCTCATCTGTTGCAGGAGGAAGCATCTCTGATAATGGCTGAGCAAAGCATTGATCTATGAGTATAACAGAATGTCATTAGGGACCATTTATTGCTATGAGTTTTTATTTGTTTGTTTGGATTTTTTTAGACACAGGGTTAACTCAGGGTCCCTGTGCTGCCTAATCTCTGGTCCTTGGCCGTTCAAGTTTTGGGTATGTGTTGCATCTTGTGAAGTGGATATTAGTCAAATCGGGTTCTGTGGATTGTAGGTTGGTTTTCATTGATTTAACAGCTCGTATCTACATAGAAGCAGATGCATACTACATTTGTATTTATGGGTCTGGGATACCTCACTCAGGAAGATTTTTCCAGTTCCATTCATTTATCTGTAAACTTCCTGATGACATTTTGTTTTAATTGCTGAGTGATAGTCCATTGTATAAATGTACAACATTTTCTTTATCCATTCTTTTGCTGAGGGATATCTAGGTAGTTTCCAGTTTCTGGCTACTAGTAATAAAGCAACAATGAACAAGGTTGAGCAAGTTTTCTCTGTGGTAGGATGGGATGAAGTGTCTTTTAAGTATACACCCAAGTGGTATAGCTGGATTTTGAGGTAGATCTACTCACATCTTCCCAAAGAGCCATCACACTAATTTCCGCAGTATCTGTACAATTTTACACTCCCATCAATAATTGATGAGTGTCCCCCTAATTCTATATCCTTGCCAGCATGAGCTGCCACTTGTGTTATTGATCTTAACCATTCTGACATGTATAAGACAAAATCTCAAAGTCATTTTGATTGACATTCCCCTGATGGCATCTTTGTCAAATATTAAGTGCCTGAAGTTATGTATACTTATGTTTGGATCTCAATTTTGTTCCATTAATCTCCATTTCTGTTTTTTGTGCTGGTACTATTTTTTTTATTACTCTGGCTCTGTAATATAGACTAAGACCTGGAATTGTAATTCTTCTAGCATTGTTTTTTGGTTCAAGATTGTTTGGGCTATCTGGGGTCTTTGTGGTTTCATTAATTTTAGAATACTTTATCATTTCTAGACATTTTCTGGTAGAACCTTTGAAATCTCTAATGTATAGTATTATGTGTTCTACAAATAGGGATAGTTTGTATCTCTTTGATTTCCTTTTCTTGTATTGTTGCTCCAGCTAGTATTTTAAACACAATATTTAGTTTGCCAAACACTTGGTAACTTTGGCTTTCAAGCATCCTCAAGTTCCCTTTCTTAATTGTTTCAGGTTGACTTCTTCCTTTCAGCATGAAGACACCATGTCTATGACTTATTTTCCCCCAGATACCCATTTCCTTTTTACATCATGGGTCTCATCATTATTAGTACATTAATTTTCTATGTTGAAATTCTTTTTCCAAATTTCCTTAATTCTGCTCTTAAAATATCATGCTAATTAGTTTTGCAATTTTGATTTTTGTTTGCTTGTTATATTTTGCTTTCTTTTTCCAATCTTATTCTCCTTTTTGTTAGCTGTGTCTTTGGCTCAGAGGATTGAACAAAGACTTTGTTCTTTGACCCATGAATAAGATCAGCATCATCCTATCTGTTTATTACTAAGCTCAGTAAGAACTGGTTCTTGGCATACAGTACGTACTGAGCTCACAAGGCCCTGTGCTCAATGTTAGTTGTGCACTCTCAGTCTAATCTCCAAGGCCTGCTTAGGGCAATGGAAAAGGATTAGACAGATTCCTAGGGATACCACGTAGCTCTCCTATCTCAGATTTGACGATTGTGCTTTTATCTATGTTCCTTCTTCAGCACAGCACAGGGGATGGATTTCTTTGTGACATTTCCTCACATGCCCTTCATGTACTCGGCTCACACTCCGCCTCCATTGCCTCATCTCGTTCTCTTCCACCTCTCTCTGCTTGCCTTTATTTACCCTACCATCTCTGTCTTAAGTATATGCACACATGCACACACAAGATTTCCCATGCAAGAAAAAGCATTTGGAATCTATTTTATGACTCTGTTTTATTTCATTTAACATAGTGATATCCAATTAAATTCTCTTTGTGTGTTCTTCTCTCTTATTACAAATGACATAATTTTATTCTCTTTATAACTGATTAAAACTAAATTATATACTAGTAAATCATTTGTTGGTAGACATCTAGGCCTATTCCACACTTTTGTTATTGTGAATAGGGCTGCAGCACCAATGTACATGTTTCTCTGTGGCAGGTATCCTGCCTTTGTGGACAATGCTGTCCTCAGAAGGTATAGGTTATTAAATGAAAATCTCAGGGCCAGGCATTGATTTCCTCATTATGAGTTATTGGCTATAGCAGTATTTTATTTTCCCCTAGGTCCATGGTCAATCTAGTGTCAGATTCTTAGCCATGAAAGCAGTGTTGGGGATGAGTTGCTTCTCATGGAGTGGGCCTTAAATCCAATCAGATAGTGGGTGGTTACTTTTACAACTTTTGTGCCACTATTGTACAGACTTGTGATGCAGGCAGGACACCGTTGAAGATTGAGGGGTTTGTAGTTCTATTAGTATTTACCTTTCTTCTCTGGTAGCATGCAGAGTACCTTCCAATACCATTAACTCTAGTAGTGTGGGTGAAAGTTTTTGTTAAGATAGCCATTTTTAGTATATTAATTCTACCTACCCCAAGAGCATGGGAGATCTTTACATTTTCTGGTGTCTTCTTCAACTTCTTTCTTCAAAGATTTAAAGCTTTTTTTCATACAAGTCTTTCACTTGTTTGGTAGAGTTTCTCCAAGATCTTTTATGTTATTTGTGGTTATTGTGAAGAGTGATGTTTTTCTGGTTTCTTTCTCAGCCAATTTAACATCTGTGTAAAGGAAGGCTACTAATTTTTTGTGTTAATCTTGTATTCTGCTACATTACTGAAGGTGTTTATAAATTGTAGAAGTTTATTGGTAGAGTTTTTGGGGTCACTTATGCAAACTATCATATCATTAGCAAATAGGGAGAGTTTGACTTCTTCTTTTCTGATTTGTATCTGCTTGATCTTCTTTTGTTGTCTTATTGCTCTAGCTAGAACCTCAAGTACTATATTGAATAGATATGGAGAGAGTGGACCACCTTGTCTTGTTTCTGATTTCAGTGGAATTGCTTTGAGATTCTCTTCATTTAGTTTGATGTACGGCTTGCTGTATATTGCCTTTATTATGTTCAGGTATATTCCTTGCATTCCTGATCTATCCAAGATCTTTATCATGAAGGGACGTTGTTTTTTTTAGCATCTAATGAGATAATCTTCTTTTCAGTTTGTTTATATTGTGGATTACATTGACAGATTTTTGTATGTTGAACCATCTCTGCATCTCTGGGATGAAGCTGACTTAATCAGGGTATATGATTTTTCTGATGTATTCTTGGATTTGGTTTTCCAGTATTTTATTGAGTATTTTTGCATCAACATTCATGAGTGAGATTGGTCTGTAATTCTCTTTTTTAGTAATGTATTTGTGTTGTTTAGGTATCAGGGTAATTGCAGGCTCAGAAAAAGAGTTTGGCAATGTTCCTTCTGTTTCTAGTGTGTGGAACAATTTGAGGAGGATTGATATTATTTCTTCTTTGAAAAATCTTGTAGTATTCTGTGCTGAAACCATCTGGTCCTTGTTTTGCTTTGTTTTTTGGTTAGGATACTTTTGATGACTGTTTCTATTTCTTTAGCAGTTATAGGCCTATTTAATTAGCCTATCTGATCTTGATTTAATTTTGGTAAATGATATTTATCCAGAAAATTGTGAAATAGAGGTTTTTGAAATACAATCTGATGACTTTCTGGATTTCCTCCATCTCTGTTGATATATGCCCCCTTTCATTTCTGATTTTGTTAATTTGGATGTTCTCTCTCTGCTTTTTAATTAGTTTGGATAAAAGTTTGTCTATTTTGTTAATTTTTTCAAAGAACCAACTCTTTGTCTCATTGATTCTTTGTATTGTTTTCTTTGTTTCTTTTTTGTTGATTTTAGCTCTCAATTTAATTATTTCCTGCACCTACTTTTCCTGGGTAAGTTTGCTTCTTTTTGATCTAGAGTTTTCAGGTGTGCTGTTAACTCACTAGTGTGGGATTTTTCCAGCTTCTTTATGTAGGCATTTAGTGATATGAATTTTCCTCTTAATACTTGCTTTAATTGTGTCCTATAAAATTGGGTATGTTGTGTGGTCATTTTCATTGAATTTTAGGAAAGCTTTAATTTCTTCCTTTATTTCTTCCTTGACCTATTGATGATTCAGGTGAGCATTGTTTAATTTCCATGTGTTTGTGGGCTTTCTGAATTTGGTGTCATGTTGAATTCTAATTTTATGCCATGGTGATCTGATAAGATACACGGGGTTATTCCAATTTTCCTTTTTATATCTATTGAGGTTCGCTTTGCTGCCAAGTATGTGCTCAACTTTTCAGAAGGCTCCATGAGGTTCTGAGAAGAAGGTATATTGTTTTATGTTTACATGGAATATTCTATAGATGTCTGTTACGTCCATTTGAGTTAACAGGTAACATCTGTTGGTTTCCTTATTTCTCTGTTAATTTTCTGTCTGATTGACCTGTCCAGTGGAAAAAGTGGAGTGTAGAAGTCTCCTGCTATTAGTGTGTGGGGTTTAATGTGTGAGTTAAGCTTTAGAAGTATTTCTTTTACATATGAGGGTGCCCTTGTATTTGGAGCATAGATGTTCAATATTGAGATTTCCTCTTGATGGATTTTTCCTGTGACTAATATGAAATGTCCTTCTCTGTCTCTTCTGATTGATTTTAGTTTGAAGGTTATTTTGTTAGATATTAGGTATCAGGATAACCTTACCTTCATAAAAAGAGTGCAAACTGGTACAGTCCCTTTGGATATCAGTATGGTGATTTCTCAGAAAATTAGGAAACAATCTTCCTTAAGATTCAGCAATACCACTTTTGGGTGTTGTAAGGAGGTGCCACTTGTTGGTTCCCGGCTGTTCAGCCCTAAAATAACTACACAGAAACTGTATTAATTAAATAACTGCTCGGCCAATTAACTCTAGTTTCTTATTGGCTAACTCTTACATCTTAATTTAACCCATTTCCAGTTATCTATGTATTGCCACGTGGCTGTGACTTACCAGGTAAAGTTCCGACAGGCATCTGTCTCCAACAGATCCATAGCATCTCTCTGACCCTGCCTCCTTTCTCCCAGCATTCACTTTAGTTTCCCCCTCCTAGCTCTGTTATTTTGCCCTATCACAGGCCAAGACAGTTTCTTTATTCATTAATCAATAAAAGTAACACATAGATAAGAGGACCTCCCACACCATTTGGGTATATACCAAAAGATGCTCAATTGTACCACAAGGGCATGTGTTCAACTATGTTCATAGCAGCATTATCTGTCATAGCCAGTAACTGGAAACAACCTAAATGCCCTTCAATCGAAGAATGGATAAGAAAAATGTCATACATTTATACAGTGAAGTACTACACAGCAGAAAAAATTAATGACATTTTGAAATTTGCAGGCAAATGCATGGATCTAGAAAGCATCATATTGAGTGAGGTAACCCAGACCCAGAAAGACAAATATTATATGTATTCACTCATAAGTGGTTTTTAGACGTAAAGCAAAGAAAACCAACCCAGACCCAGAAAGGCAAATATTATATGTACTCATTCATAAGTGGTTTTTAGACATAAAGCAAAGAAAACCAACTTAGAATTCACAATCCCAGAGAACCTAGATGACAATGAGGACCCTAAAAGAGACATACATGGATCTAATCTACATGGGAAGAAGAAAAAGACAAGATCTCCTGAGTAAATTGGGAGCATGGGAACCATGGGAGAAGGTTGAAGGGGAAGGGAGACAGGAAGGGAGGGGAGCAGAAAAAAATGTATAGCTCGATAAAATCAATAAAAATAGTCATAATAAAGAATATACTGTGACTTCTTTTTCTATTTGTTGCCTGTTTATCTCCTTCAGTTGTCTAGTGCTCTAGCTAAGACTTCAAGTACTGTATTGAATAGGTTTGGAGAGAGTGGATGACTTTGTCTTATTCCTGACTTCAGTGGAATTGCTTTGAGGGTTTGGGAAGGGTTTTGTTTCTATCTTTTCAGGAGAATAAAGGTATCCAGCTCAGGAATCTGGAGATCATTGGACAAATTAGACATCTAAAGAAAAAAAATAAATCATCCAGAAAAAAAATTGCTTCAAGAAAAGGAGTAAATTGGACTATTGGTACATCACATTTCCAACAGGAAAAATTTCAAAATCTTCACAAATGTTTATTTCTGCTGTTCTCTACAGATGTATAATGCAAATAGATTTTTTTTATAATCCCTCTCAAATTAAAACTCAAAGATGGCTTTGGAGTTGGAGTCTGATTCTGAAAGGAAGCTGGACGAGAAGAAAATACTCTTGGAACAAGAGGTAGGTACTGTGGGCTGCAGGACACGAGGGTGCCAGTATACCAGGGAATTCTCTAAGGCCTGTCAAAGTCCAGTTTATCTGACATTTTTCAGTAGGTAGCTTTTGAAATCCCACTATTAAATCCTGAGGAGATTGAGAGTTGTGTTCTATGTGCACACAGGGTGACTGGAGAAGGCATCACTATTTTAAATGTTGCATTTCTAGAAAGAGATATACATATTTGCCTGTGACTGCTATTATCCATAACTGGAATTGTCACCTAGAGGTATGCCTTCCAAACCCATAATCTTGAAGGAACCAAGGGTTTTAAACAGACAAGAGCAAAGGATGTGTCAACAGGAGACTAAATGTGTACAAGCACCTGCTCTTTAAAGCCGATGACTTAAGTTCAGTCACTGGACTCCACAGAAGAGGACAAGAAATCAGTTCCCCAAAGTTATCTTCTGAAATTCGTAGGCATACCTGGCAGGTGAGAACATGCACACACACACACACACACACACACACACACACACACACACACATATGTAACCATAGCATATAGACATATTAAAAGCAACTGATGCCGAAATAACGTCTTTATTGGGAAACACGTGTTTTCTATTATCTGTAATGCTACAAGGGTGTTCTGACACTTCAATTTGGAGCTGTCATTTGAAGGGATGCTATCCAAGCCCCAAAACTAGTAGGAAATGGAGATTTCAATACTCGAAAGCAAATGATGTCAGGTAGGATCTCTTTATTAGAGAGCATTGGTGTGAGGATGCGCCCAGGTTAGAGAGCCTCAGGAGCAGCAGTGTGCGTGGGTCAAGAACATCTAGGACGACAGGGGAGTCGGCATCTGAAGACATCACAGTCCACACAAGTCAGGCGTCTCCTATGGAGAGAGGACACAGATGGGCGTGCACACGAGAAAAAACTAGCAGACAGGAAGCGAGTGTGGCCAGGTCTCTTGTCTGCTTGGACCAAATTATGGCCATTTGGAGCACTAGCCACGACTGGTCACTGGATCCACGGCTTCTGTTGCTTTCCTTCCCTTCACACGAAGTGCCCCTTGATGCAAACATGCAGGTGACATCCTTTTCCTCCCCGGGCTGCAGATTCCTCTCCCAATACTGATCCCTCACCACCCCAGTGTCTCCCTTTTCACAGTTCCCGCATCACAAACAGGGATGAAACTTGGGACTCGTTTGCCTCTTTTATTCACAAAGATGAAGCAAAACCCCATGGATCAGTGGTCTCTAAAGGCTAAGGGAACCCTATATGGGATGGAAGAACATTAGTTGGTGTGTGAAACAAAAGCACTCATGCTTTGTAACACTGTAGCCAGAAACTGACCACATCCATGGAAAGCATAAGAAGTTACAAAATCTTAAGTTTACATGATCTTATAAGTGCTCCATGTTCAAAGCAGAATGACTGCACGTGTGCAAAATAAATGTGTAGAAAAGACTAAAAAGAGGAATTTGAGACACACTGAGAGCTCAGGTAGCTTGCTCTGCCTCTGCCGGGTGCTTGCTTCATAGGCAATGGAGTTCAACTCCATAAACTTTGCTGTTCAGCACATCCATTGCTGTAGGCTTCACTACTAATCTCACATTGGGCCCAGGCAGTCCACTGTGTACAACCTATAAACACTGGAGTAGATGCTCTCCCGCCTGCTAAGACACTTACCTCTGAATGTGTCCTGGCCTTGACTGATAATGGGTGTGTTAATCTGTGAAGGCATCTTGATACAGGATTAACTCTCCGTTTGGACAGTAGCACGTCTGTTGAGCTTGGTGGAAAGGTTTTGTGTGATGAATTCCACCCTGTAGTTGCCCTTGAAACTGCACAAAATACCCATCATAGCCTTGGAAGTGCCGTCTGAAATACGGAAAGAACTCTGCTGTTTTCCTGGCCCGGCCACGCTTGCTTTTGAGCCTGTGAATCATTTTATGCTGCTGATGCACCTGAGCCTGGTCTTCATCCAGGGCATGTGTTTTGCCCTTGATTTGCTGAGGAAAAGCTTGCTGGAGAGTTTGTGATGCCTGGGAGGATTTCAGAGGGGCGCTGTGGGATTTCAGCTTGATTTGTGATTTCACCTGGCCTAGGGTCTTTAGCTGGCCTAGGGTCTTTAGCTGGCCTGTTTGGGACTTCAGCTGGGCTCCGTGGGATTTTAGTTGTGTTTGGGATTTTATTTGTGACTGGGATTGAAGTTGGGATTTTTGTTGGCTAATCTCATCTTCTTCATCACAAACTATGTCTTCACTTACACCTATCTGTTCCTGTGAACTCTGAGTCTCTCCCAGGTCAGCGTCAGCATCCTGGCCATACGCACGGTGTTTAGTTTGCTCAAAACCGCTTTCTTCAGCTCCATCCTCCTGTGTTCTTCTAGACCCGTAGTGGAAATGGCCTTTCTGGATAAACACAACTGGGGACGTCTTTACTAGAAAGTGTCCTTTTGTCTCACCTGGTAATTGATAAAAAATGTTTGAGTTACACTCTCTGTACAACCCCTATAATCTTATCCCAAGATTTCCCCCATCAACCTGCTGCTGAGTTACCCACAAGGCAAATGGATTTGGGTAGAGAAGAGTCAGTGTCCAGCAAGATCACCCTGTGGAGAGTTCTTCTCCCTGCCAGAGCACCCTTGAGGACATTCTCTCTGGTGCCTTCCTGCCAGGTGACTCCCTGCACTCACCATAGATTCCTATCCCAGCTGCTCGCCTCTCCAGAAGGAGGAGCAGAGAAAGGCTGAAGAAGACGGACTTCATCTCACCAGCAGGGCCTTCACTGAGAGCTCAGTTGACCATTGCTTTATATGTGGCTTGCTGGGTGCATAGATGTGGCTGGAGTCACAAAAGGCCATACCCATTCCCACTTATCTGGCATGTGGCCTCTGCCCTCTTCTCAGTAGGAGATATTGTCAATATTCCTAGAGACCATAGACACATGATGTCGGAGTCTTTGTCTAACCCCACATGTCCCAGAAAATCTTTATCGCCAGTTGAAGATCATCACATGATGTTTCCAGAAGCAATTCCAGGCAGAGATCACAGGAGTGACCTTGGCCTGTCCAAGCTTTTGTGGTTCGAGTGTGTGGCCTTGTCCACAGTGCACTTAGTGTCATACTGTACCACAAACATGATGTGCACTTTTGCTTCCTTCTGGTGACAATGACACGGATCTGTTTTTTTCTCAAAAGGTCTATTCATAGACGTAAAAAAAGATCAGGAAAGAAGGCAAATGTAAGAATTCCAAAGAAAATTAAGTAACAACTGAGAAACAGCTGGACAAAAGTCACTCTAAAATGCCTAACCTTACTACTGACCTGTATGGAAACCCTCCAGTGCTGTCTCTCCTTAGAAGTTCTGATGAGAGCTCATGAGTACAGTATGGCGGGCCATCACCTGCAAGGTGGGAGCAGCAGAGACAAGTGCAAGAGTGTTCTGTGCTCTGTGTGTCCAGTGGGGCAAGCATTGGGGCTGCATCTCAAGAATGAGGGAATCTGCAGAGGGCTTTTCAAGTATGGGAGAAATTTACTGGGTTTGACTGGAGACAGGAATGACTGTGTGTGGTTGGAACAAGGAGAAAGGACGCTGGTTTCCTCATTTCAGTATTTTCATGAGATCATCTAAAATCGCAGTGCCCTCTCAATGAGGGAAAAGTCTTTTGCAAATGAAAACAACTTCAGTCATCAGCTATGTCTACTGTCACTAGTGAATGTGTTAATAGACATATTCTATGATTGTATTGAGACTGGAAACCAAGGGAACCTGTCCATGTCTTATAAAAGTGCACTAATTTATAACTGCAAGAAGACCCCAAATGGTTCATAAGGCTGGCCTTTAGTTTCCCAGGCAAACGTGGTGTGGACAGAGCACAGTAGAATTAACTGTCTCTGCAGAGAGCCTGCATGCCCTCACAGCAGCCCGGCAGGGCATCGAAGAGTAGGCTTGTGAAAAAGTACTTCCAGTCTCTCTATCCCCAAATGTAGTCCACCTAGAAGGATGCTGTGTGAAGGGTTAAGATGAAGTCCACTGTGTTTTCATGGGAGGAGCGGACATAAAGGTACTCAGTCACCAAACAGAACACGAGGATGCTTTTATCTAGGAGCTCTGAGCACCTCTTAATCTGACCTCTTTGTTCCAAGACTGAAGATAACTGAGTCCTCATGAGAGATGCCAGTCAAAAGATTAGAAATTACCAAGAAGGCAAATTACTTCCCTTCTTGCTGACTTCTCCACTACTCCATGCCCTTCCCTTGAGAAAATACCAGAAGGAACTCTTCTATGGAGAGATGATTTGTAGAAGAATGATTGTAGAAAATGGATCTCTTTAACAGGTCAATAATCAATGTCCGTGTTTAACCCACTGTGCAAAATATGACTGTCTTCCATCCTCAGTGTCAGCGGAAACTTCCTTACTCTGTTCACTTCCCTGACTTCCTGACATACTCAGGAGTCACCCCAGGGCTCGGACATTCTCTGTCCCCAAGTGGAAGTCTTCTAGAGTGACCGGGAACCTGATAAAAACCGCAGGATGAAAAGTCACTGGGACCTGCCATGGGTTTAGTTCTCAAAGAAGCCAAGGTTATAATGCAAAGGAAGCTCCAATGCTAAGAACTGACTCTCAAAGTAGCCAAGCCCTTAATTTGCACAGAATAACAGTTGGAACAATGGAAATGACCATGGAGTCCAGATATGGCTTGCAATCCCTCCCCACATGCATTTGGAGCTACAGGAAATGAATCGCTGCTGAGAAAAGCAGCCTTGGTCTTCTCTAGAGACAAGACACCTAATAGGCTATCCAGTCAAAACATTCAGTCCAAAACACTGAATGGATTCAGAATATTCTATTACATACACACACACACACACACACACACACACACACACACACACACCAATTATAATTAAAGAAGGTACCATGATGAGGGAGGCATAAGAGAAGTAGAGGTGGTGGAAATGATGTCAATATAGTACTCATATATGGAACTCAAGATGTTTAAAAGCTTACAATGAAGGCACAGATTTGGATGACTATGGAATGGATAGTGACTCTGGGAGAAGCCGGTGAAGTGGGTGAATAGGATCAAAGTACAATGCGTGAAAGTCCCCCCCCCAAAAAAATTTAAAAAATATGTATAAAAGATCCATTCTCAGAGAAAGAGAAATGTGACAACTCAATGTAACGAGGCGTTTTGGATGAGATCCTGAAACCAAAAACAGATAAGAACTGAGTCATTATAGAAAGAGTAATGACTTTAGTTAGTTTTATTGTAGCAATATTGGCCATTAGCTGTGGCAGCTGCACCATTGGGAAGGCCTGGGAAGGCCTTCATCTGAGTCTGTTGAACTCTAGCACCTGCTTTGACACTTCATACTCACATCCATGTATGGGGTATGAAGTTGATTCCAAGCTAGCTCTTCTTTTTTTCTCCTCTTAATTTGCACACACATTTCTGAGTCCCACTTTATTCTTTACAAAGGGAAAAGTCCTGTATACAAGAATTACCAATGTTCAAAATTTGTTGATATTTTTATAAATGTAATTTAAACTTTTTTCTATTTTTGGACTTCTGGTTCTGTGGAAGGAATGGAGTTTATGTGGTTTTATTTATTCTTCTTGGAGTGACATTGGACAGTTTTGAGAATTCATAAAGAGATACTAACTCTCACAAGGACATATAGAACCCAGAAATCCTAGGATTATAGCATTATTTTTTATTTTCTAAGAAATACTTTTATAGGAATAATAAAACACTGAGTTTATGAAAATTGACAAATAGTCCCTACCATGTGTTTTAAAGGGGATCATTACAGAAAACCATAACCAATCAAAATGCAGAGTTGTGGAGTCCAGTCCCAGCCTATACATCCTCAGACCACTTCTGTGCCGAAGACTCAAGGATCACTACAGGAGGGGGTGTGGAAAGAGCTAGAAGACCAGTTTGCTTTGAGATTGTGTCTCCTAGGAATGTCACAAGCTACACCCATAACCCGTCACCTACATGGCTGTCTAAACAGGAGCTAAATAACGATAATAACAATAAACATACTAATATGGAAGAGGGAAAGCCTGTGGTGCCTCAATCTTATACAGAGAACTGCAGGCAATTCAGGAATGCAGAGAGTGGAGGAAATAGTCTTCCCCAGGGAAGAGCACACCAATTGCTTATCCAATACCAGCTACAGATTTTTTTTTTAAAGATCAAGAATGCTCATATAAATCAATGAAATAATTAGAACAGGTACAAAAGCAAAAAAAACCCCAAAACTCAGTATGTTTCCACTTTGGTTTGCACTGCATTTACTAACGATTTTGGGGAACTCTTTTCCATTATTCAGTCCCAACAACTAAGCATTGAGGATGGGGAAAGAGGAGTCCTCACGTCAGTGATAGAGGATGAGAGACGTGACAGATGCCATGAAAACCGTGGTCAGAACAGAACACAACGTTCTGATAACTAAACCATGAGGGAGAGGGGGCTGATTTCAGACTGGTGGACAAGAGCGTGGACTGCATGGTATCTGCCTCCCTTTACTTGGCGTTTCCTTTGATGCTTTCCTTTATCTTGCTCCTTCACTTTAAAGTGTGTTCCTCCTTGCTACCAGCCATTTCTCTGAACTCAGATAAACTAAATTGACCAAGTTTGACCTTTCTCAGAAGTTCGCTCTCCACCCTAGTTCAAAGCCGCTCACCATCACAGGGCTCTCTCTGAATCAGACAACCCGGAAGCCTCCTCTTTGGAACTCAGTTATCATGTCCTAGATGTAAGAAGATAGTTCATGATATCTTTTGTTCTGCATTGAATGTGAGGCTATGGGATCAGGGGAAATGTCAAGACTGATGAACAATGGGTCCCTGATCTTATTTCTTAACAAGGGCTCCTGATCACCCCTCAGTGGGGTAACACCCATCACTGAGAGGAAGATCATCTCCCTGTTTCATTTTGTACATGGAACATGATGTAACTCAAATGTTCTCTAGGTTGGTCATTGGTTGCCCTCTTCTTCTGTTTGTTTTTCTGAAAGATGACTATGGAACCTCAGACAAGATATCAGGATCCTAGGGTATTTTTACTAGTGAATCCAGGTATGAAAAAAAGATGTAAGACTGGTGAGGGCAGGGGGCTATGCGTGAAGATACTAAAAGTATATTATATAATTATATAAAATGACATTGGGTAACCCAGTACCATATTCAATGAAAATATGCCAATGGGAATTTTTTTAAAAATATGAATGTGGGGAATATTTACCTCCCATTACTGAGTTCTTAATATCTGGTTTACATGCCAAGTCCCCATGAATAGCAAATGGAACTTTTAAATGATTTAAAATCATTTAAATCATGCCTGCAAGATCCTAAATGCACATTTTTCTCCCTGCTTTTGATTTCTCTCTGAGGTTACCCACATATTCATATGCATCCCTGAAAAACACTGGAAACTTCAATCAGAAGGACCAGAAAGTTCCACATAGTCTGGCCTTTTATTTTATAGATACTATTATGGAAATATAGAAATCAATCCTAAAATTCCTGTTTTAAAAGATCCTGAGCACCCAAAGCAATCCTGATCAGAAGGAGCAATGCCTGAGCAATAGCAAGTACCCTATATCAAACTGCCTAACAGAACCAGAGAATCAAACCCAGCAAGACAGACACAAACAAAACTAAACATAACAAATAGAATAGGATGAAGAACTCAGAAATAAACCCATGCGATTCTGTCCACCACAATGTTGACAACGGTGACACCTTTAATAAAGACAACCTCTTTAACAATTAGTGCTGGCAGCATTGAATATCAACATGTATATAGCTAAGACAAATCCT